AAAGAATGGGCGCCGTTATTGAAGAAATATCGTATTCCAAAATGGTTACTGCCTGGACATCGCCCCGCTCTAAGCTTTGGAATTGGTGGTGCAGGTAAAATGTCTTTTGAGTAAGTACACATGGTACATATAAAGTTTAGGTACGGGTGTACCTTTCCACTTTCATGGCCCTGTATTTGCCGAAATTATTTATGGCTCGAAGAGGTGGTTCTTGTATCCATTTGAGGAGCGTCCAGAGTTCGAACCGGATCACTCCACTCTTGAATGGTAAACTTTTATCTCTAGGCGGCCTTTCAGGCGGCCTTGGCTTCCTCGCAATATCCATGCAGATTTGTTCTTCGTTCCATACAGAAATTCACTCATCATTGAGCTTCGCTGGATGGCATACTTGAAAAAGCTGCAATATAAAAGAAGAAGCATTAGAAATTTGTCTAGTCCCTCTCACCCCCTCCTTGCCCTGCGTCCGCCACTGTAGCACACAGTATAAGCTTTAGAAATCGAATATTGATTGCCTAAACACTGTCTTAACGCATATATGCAGAACCTCCACGGTAAAATTTGTAATAGTATTTGGAAATGAGAAAAGTCAGTGGAGATAATTTGGGTAGCGTCTCATCAATTTTGAGACTTTTAGTTTAATTGAAAATATCACATAGTAAAGAATTTGTAATACTTGTCGATTCTACGTAAGTTAAGATTTCCAGAGAATAATTCCTTTGCGAGCAAATTGCATAGTGCCAAAAGTATAAGTACCACTAGATGTGTTTTCTAAAGTTCTGGGAGATTATGTGCTGAAATAAGCAATCAAGGACAACATTAACACTACAATCAGCCCGGATGCGTCTAAGTAAAGGGTTAGTTAATTTTCGTGATTCTCGATAAACCCAAAGTTTGGACATCTGTCATTTTGATTGCTATCGCGTTTATATAAATAAGCAATAGTCACATTAGCTTTCGATAAAGAGTAAATCAACCTGTATCGGCAGTTAGATAATACGCTCAAGATTGAGGATTTATGGCCCATCTTTTCATCAAGCGCCTTATATGCTTCACTTTGTAAATCTACCCTTATATCTCCCACAGATGTAATTCGCCATATCTTCACCCCTCTATGGATCTAGTAGACAGGAAAGGATTTGCAAAGAGCTATTCGAATATTGCAGATATAGACTGCCTTATGCACCTACACTTACGCAATTGCTTGCATATAGCTAGAACTTAGCATTGGTTTTCAGGCCTGCGAAAAGTATGTATATTGTTGATGCATTTACACATTTCACTTCAATACTATGAAGAATGGGGTAGGTGAGCCGACGCCACAAGATCTTCTCAGATTAGGCAACCACCTCGGAAAAAATCGGAAAAGTAGGGACGGCATGAAGTCACCAAAAACATCTGTTGGCACTAGTGGTAGCCTTGCTTGTTATGTCTATTAACAAGCAAGGCTATCAATTTTTGATTATATATTATCACTGTTCTTATGTTTGATAAGCAGTTGGAA